AGATATAAAATCGATATTTTTTTGAAAATAGCCTACTATGATCAAAACCAAAAATGCTTTAAATTGCATTTTAAAACATATCAAGGTATTATGAATGATTAAGAATGCTAATATAGATATAAAATCGATATTTTTTTGAAAATAGCCTACTATGATCAAAACCAAAAATGCTTTAAATTGCATTTTAAAACATATCTAGGTATTATGAATGATTAAGAATGCTAATATAGATATAAAATCGATATTTTTTTGAAAATAGCCTACTATGATCAAAACCAAAAATGCTTTAAATTGCATTTTAAAACATATCTAGGCATTATAAATGATAATAAATGCTAATATAGATATAAAATCGATATTTTTTTGAAAATAGCCTGCTATGATCAAAACCAAATATGCTTTAAATTGCATTTTAAAACATATCAAGGTATTATGAATGATTAAGAATGCTAATATAGATATAAAATCGATATTTTTTTGAAAATAGCCTACTATGATCAAAACCAAAAATGCTTTAAATTGCATTTTAAAACATATCTAGGCATTATAAATGATTAAGAATGCTAATATAGATATAAAATCGATATTTTTTTGAAAATAGCCTACTATGATCGAAACCAAAAATGCTTTAAATTGCATTTTTAAACATATCCAAATATTATGAATGATTAAGAATGCTAATATAGATATAAAATCGATATTTTTTTGAATTGTTTTTTCGCTCTAATGGATCAGGACAAGCCAAAAATTATGATTTTGGTATCAATCGATTCTTGAGAAGATGTAAAACATCTTCCGTGTTCCACGCAGAAGCTAAAAGATAATTTTCAGAGTTTACACCAAAAAGTTCAATTCAAAAAAAATACCTCAAAACTGAACAACGAAGTTAAAATGCATCCTGAAAAATTCAACAAAACTTAGCTCAGTACTTTAAACCTCTAATCAAAAATCATATGAACATTGAATAAACATTTTGAACGAACATTCACATGTGTGAAGATTAAAGTACTCAATTAATTATAGTGTGGTTGAGTAGTAATCGATACAACCAATGAATACATTTTGGAATTTGTGTTCTCATTTGAGATTATCTTCATGGTTGTGTTTTAATGTTTTATTCCTGTTTTTGTTGTTCGACGCATTTTGTATTTTGATTCTCGATTGATTTGAGATTTGTGTTGTTGGATAGGCTTTAAAGTTGGTTTTAAGGATTCTATCCTTTTTAAAGACATTATAAATTGCTTCATTTGAGTATTGATTCTACCCTTTTGTATCAATCCTAAAAGATAATAAGCTTTAAAATTTCCTCATTTCAGACCTTTTGAATGATTTTTAAATTTATAATCCACTTTCCCATCCACACGCATCCCTTTTACAATTTATCACAATATCGATCTGAAGATGTCGAGACAGAAAAAATGACACAGAAACATCAATAATACTCTCAAAACTGTAAATAATTCACATTGAAAATTTTTTCCATAAATAAAATGAAAAATCGATGGATTTATTTTTTGCAGTGACATGTGCGCTGGTTCCCAAGCTTTTTTAAACCAGTCATTGATTTTTTATTTTTATTATTTACTCCTGCTTTATTTTTGGATTTTCTATTGTGTATTAAAGTATGATGGTTATATATTGCTTTGTTGGTTTAGTCTGGATTTGTTTTGATTGGATTTTTGAGAGAATTTGATGATCTTTTGATCTAGATCTGTAGTTTAATGTTTGATCTGAATCATTTTAAATTGTATCAGGCACGAAATCGTTGTTCAGTATTTGACCATTCAGAATCTAGTATTTCTTTTAACTTAGATCGAATTCTGAAAATTTGAACCACTTTAAAAAGTTAAATCAACCTTCAACAACTTCGAGGACAGGTGCTGTTTTACTTATCAGCAGCTGTTACAGAAGATATTAAAAATTTCAGTATGAAATTCACAATCAAACTCTTTAGATTCATTCAATTTAAATCGAAATTCAACAAAACCCTCAAAATCATGATTCATGGCTTTCAAATCCATACTGAATCGTGTGCAAAAAGTTCATTAGCATCACCACTCTATAAATTTTACCCTGTCTTCATTCCATTTCCTCACATCAACATTCTTTCAAAGGGAAACATCATCAGATGTATCATAATTCATATCTCATACCAAACTTGCTCCCATTACAGCTGTATAATTCCTACAAATATCAAAATGACTTCGCAAATTCCTCAATCTAATTCTCAATTCCATCAATATCTCATTGTTCTCTATTTTTTCTCACCATTCCATTGACTCGATAGTATTACAACAAAAACAACAATTTTGACAATTTACAACCGCTAAAGCCAAAGAGTCAATTGACACGATAACTGACAATTGGACATAGACGAGTATATATGTCTACAAACACATCCGATATGCATTAGATGTAGGATTAATGGAGAGAAAATGCATTCGAAAGACTCTTTGCCATTTTTTTAAACTCGAAATACATATCGTGTAGTTCTGTTGTTTGTACAACATGTATAGCAATAAGTAGAAGGCAAATAGTACAATATATACAGACCATAGTTATTTTCATTGATATCCATCTGATGATTGCATTGTTTGATTTACAACATTGTGAATTGAATGTCCGCAAATTGATGGCGCTTGTCAATGTAGTAGTTGTTGTATTTATTGAGGAACAAGCTACTTTTTGCAGACAGGAAATTATTCTTTTGATTAATGGATGATTATCGATTTTTAACGAAAGCTTTTTTCTTTTTTTTGTATTTTCAATATTTAGGTTCGATTGCAATAGGGGATGATATAAGATCTTTGAACCCCTCCCACCTAAAAGTTCGACATTATTTATGAACGACCCCGAACATTTTACTCAAAAGAAAAACCTGAATGATTTAATATTGTGAACTGAAAAATGACCCAAAATATAGAATAAGAATCTATAATTAATCGAAGTTCAACTTTGATAGACACTTTTGATTTCGTTCAATTCAAAATCTAGACAGCAACTAATTCAAATTTATACAATTTTTGTACATATTATGAATAAGTCAATTATTGTTTTTATCATCAGCAATTAAATTCAATTTGACTTGTAGAATTCGATTGAAAAATATACAAAATTAAGCTGATTGTTTAGAAAATGAAAGTAAATTATGTAACGGTATCTACAACTCTTTCCTCTTCTCATCTTTTGTAAATGATACTGATCGAAAACTTAATTTGTGACAATAACCTAAAATTAAACTTTCATTCCAACTATTAAATCTAATCTCTTCAACATTTATCTACAATAAAATCCAAACAAAAGCACACATATGCATCGGTTATTAATTAGGATCAATAATTCGATTGATTATTTTTTTTTCTCATTTGCAAATTGAAAGTGAACTCTGTCAATGAACCCGAAACAAAACTCATAATTGCCTATAAATAAACTGCATAAAAGGGTAATAAACTTGACCATTATAATCATTTATGAACAAATATTTTTTCTCTTCTCAATTCAATTAAATTGCATTGCGAGACTTTTTTTTAATGAGAGCAAAAAAGCTATGAGAAAATTGTTGTTTTCGTTGGCTTGAGGCGATTCATGCTCAAGAGTTTAAAACTAGCATGTGATATGAAAATATAAAGCAACAGCAACAACCGCGAATCGCATGCATTGTATTGTTTGAGAACTAAATACTTAAATTGACATATCTGCAAGCTGGAAGATGCACTTAATTAAAAACTTTTTGAAATGACTTGAGTAAGAATAATTAAGGAATTGTAGTCGTGCATATCTAACTTAAAATATGTGCAATATCATTTGATTTAAGCAGAATTTTAAAAATGAGTTAATTGTATGAAAATAGTTGAGGATGAAATTATATGAAATTATGTGGGTGTCAGGTGGGGGGGTGGGGACAAAGTGGGTGTCGATATATTTTGTGAAGCCAATGTGGATGGGGGCAAGGGCGGTGTCAGGTATGTTTTGTGAAGCCAATTATGTGAGGGGTGCTGACAAGGTGGGTGTCAGTTGGGGGTCCAAATTTGAGGGGGTTTGTGGAAAAAGTTTGGTGTCAGGAATATTTTGTGAAGCCATATAAAATTTTGTGAAGCCATGTGAAGTTTTGTGAAGCCATGCGAAGCTTTGTGAAAAGACATGGTGGGTTTCGGGAGAATTAAAGTTTCAGTGGGATTAAGGGGTTCCGAGTTTGAGGGGGTTTGTGAAGCCATTTATAAAATTTTTGTGGGATTGAGTCCGAGTTTGAGGATGTTTGTGAAGTCACGTGAAGTTTTGTGTAGCTATTTATAAAGTTTTTGCGGGATTAAGGAAGTACGAGTTTGAGGGAGTTTGTGAAGCGAGTTATAAAGTTTTAGTGGGATTAAGAGGGTTCGAGTTCGAGGGGGTTTGTGAAGCCCTGTGAAGTTTTGTGAAGCCATTTATATAATTTTTGTGGGATTAAGGAAATCCGAGTTTGAGGGGGTTGTGAGGCCATGTGAAGTTTTGTGGTAGGATTGACCTTAAAAAAATTATGGTTATTTGCGTCTTACAGTTATTTACATAATAGTAATCAAATTTTAACCCTGATAAGAGGCGCCACGGGCGCTTCCGGATAGCCTAGTTTTAAAATAAAAATTAATTACCATTTTTTTTAATTCCAAAACTTTCATCAACTTAGTCGCCAACTTCTGCCTAAACTCTATACTCTAGTTCCTACCATAACCAATCACATCCATAATATCTGTAAAAAAATCCATTATATTTAAAAAGTAAGTCGAGTCATTATGCGCGTGGGAAAATTTTTCCATGCAATCAGCTGTTTTATAAATGAAGATGATGGAAATAAATAGCTTTTCAACCTCGAAACGAATGAAGAGACACAAAAAAATTGCATAATTAATTAAATTAAAGGATTTTCCATTTCCTGCTTGATGAATTTTCACCCTAAATTTACATAAAAAGCAATAGAAGATTTTTAAGTGACAAACTTTATTTGCTTAACTTTTGTTTTTTTGTGTGACCAATTGTGATTATGTTGAAAGAATTAAAAAGAGGAGATAATAGAAATTAGGAAAAGACGGCCAATTTGTTCCATGAGAGAAACGAAACCTGTGCCTAATAATTATTATTAAAATTATAGCTTGAAAAGTTCCCTTAAACATTAAAATCCGATTTAATTATCATCATCTTCAATCTTTGGAGCGAGGTAGTAACGGATGTATCCCAAGTCTGGAATCTGATATTCAACTACTAAAGGTACATCCGGAGACATGCTCAAACACACTTGTGCTGATAATGGTGTTGCTTTTGTAAAGGAATTTAAATACTGACATGCAAATGTTAAAGATACAGGCTCTTGCATTTCAATTGTCACAGCTTCATCTTCCTTATCTACTGATGATGTTTGGGAAAGCTTAATGTTTGCTGTTCCTGAATCTCCACTTGATGAGAAACGGACGCCTTCCTTTGTACACATTACTGTCACTGAGTCACCAAATTGAGTCAAATCACGACAAATACGAGCAAATTCATGTGCTGGCATACGAACAACGCATGCATAATCAGTCTCTGGAATTCCCAAGTGCTCCTGGTCTAAATTCATAAGCTTCATCTCATAATCGGACATCTGTGGAATAAGTAACACAATTAAATGTTAGTCACTGGATCTTACTGGTTCTCAAAAAATACAGCTTGGATAATTACCTTTTCCTGATTCTGTGACTCGAACATGAATGTAACCGTATCGGCATTATCTTGAGCTTTGATTGTCACTGTATCATTATTGTTAGCACATTTAAGGATTTTAGCCATATTAGCAAGATTCATTCCTAAAGATAAGTTACGATCGCATCTGTATTTATCGAAGCCATCAGATCGTAAGTTGAGTGATACTAATGAGACATGAGAGTTGTCCATAGCTTGCAGCTGGATGTTTAAAGGCGGTAAACGGAAGTTGAGCAGATGTCCAAAATATGTGTAATTTTATTAAATTTACCTGAATACCAGAGTCAGAGCAGTCGAAAATAGCTTCATTGAGTAAATCTTTAATGGAATCGAGGACTTTTTTGAGTGTTCCTGAACTGACTAAACGTGCTTCAAACATTTTGTTCGGCTTTTTGTTGACTTTTTCTGTAATTTACACAATTTAATGAAATTAATATAATTACACTTAATTATTGACGTTCTTGATGATTAAACACTATTTTAAGGTTTTAATAACTTACACAGAATAATAAATTAATTTAATTCAACAGAATAAGGCTCTAATTAAGCTTTTTAAAGATCTAGGCTTTGCTGTCGATTGTTTGAATGTGTGTGTGTGTTTTGGAGGGAAGCAATTTTATTATAACAGTTTTTTGAATATCAAACAGCCGTTAATTTACCACTTGATTTATTGCATCATGTGCTCTTGTATTTAGTTTTTTTGCTATAAAACCCTATTAATTTCATACTGAGTTGATGCAGATGTCAATTTTAAAGAGACTTTAAGCTTGAAATTAATTTTTATAATCAGTCAGATTCCAACAGACAAATAATTTTCAAAAACTGTTCGAAAGGTTTTAAGGCAAATATATGTTTTCCCGCCAAAACACAGCACTTACACTTTTCGCTCAGAACATCAACAAACAAAAAATATAATTTAATTAATTTACAAGCCATTATATAGTTTTATACAGTTCAAGTTTCATTAAGTATTGTCAAAAATGGATGTCGCTGATAGTCATGCAGGACGTTTGTTAGTAAAGGACGACGTAGCACTTAGATGCCAAAAATTGTTTGCTGATTTCCTAGACGAGTAAGTTACTCAACGAATTTTGATTGTTGAATATCCTTAATTACCCTGCTATTTCTCATAAACCCTGATATAGATTCAAAGAGGATGGCGAGGTTAAATATTTACGTGGAGCAATGGAACTGACAAATCCAGATCGATTTACTCTTGAGGTTAATTTTGAGGATGTAGAAAGATACAATCAGTATTTATCCACGGCAATCATTGAAGAATACTACCGGTAAGTCCAGCAATCTACCCATCAATCTATAATGGCACTAAATAAGTATGATTTCCTTCCAGAATTTATCCATTCCTGTGTCAAGCAGTCTCAAACTTTGTCAAAGACCGAACAGAAGCCAAAAAAGCTAAGGAATGTTACATCTCATTTACGGATGTTCCTACACGCCACAGAGTTCGAGAGCTAACAACAGTCAAAATTGGAACTCTTATTCGTATTTCTGGACAAGTCGTTCGTACACATCCAGTTCATCCAGAACTTGTTATGGGCACTTTTATGTGCATGGATTGTCAGACAGAGATCCGTGATGTTGAGCAACAATTTAAGTTTACAAATCCCTCAATTTGTCGTAATCCAGTTTGTAGTAACCGTCGTAGATTCATGTTGGAAGTAGACAAAAGTCTCTTTGTGGATTTCCAAAAAATCAGAATCCAAGAAACACAGGCAGAATTGCCCCGTGGTGCTATCCCTCGTTCTGTTGAGATTATTTTACGTGCTGAAAATGTCGAGACTGTCCAAGCTGGTGATCGTTATGATTTTACAGGAACTCTTATTGTCGTTCCTGATATTGGTTCCATTCAGCTTCCAGGCGCTAAAGCTGATGTTCGTTCTCATCATAAACAAGGCGATAATTCAGGTCAAGGAGTTCGTGGATTAAAATCTCTCGGAGTAAGAGAACTTAATTATCGTATGGCATTTTTGGCATGCACAGTTCAAGCTACATCTTCTAGATTCGGTGGACATGATGTTCCAATGAATGAAGTCACTGCTGAAGATATGAAGGCACGAATGACAGAAGATGAATGGAATAAAGTCTATGAAATGTCACGCGACTCAAAATTATACTCGAATCTCATGAATAGCTTATTTCCATCGATTTACGGAAATGATGAAGTCAAACGTGGAGTACTGCTGCAATTATTTGGTGGCGTTGGAAAGACAACACATGAGAAAACAGCACTTCGTGGTGATATTAATGTTTGTATTGTCGGCGATCCATCAACAGCAAAATCACAACTTTTAAAGCAAGTCGCTGACTTTTCACCGCGTGCTGTCTACACGTCAGGCAAAGCATCATCTGCTGCTGGTCTTACAGCTGCTGTTGTACGTGACGAAGAAAGTTTCGACTTTGTTATTGAAGCTGGTGCCTTAATGCTTGCTGATAATGGAATTTGTTGTATTGATGAATTTGACAAAATGGATCCACGCGATCAGGTCGCAATTCATGAAGCTATGGAACAACAGACAATTTCTATAGCCAAAGCAGGTGTTCGTGCCACACTTAATGCTCGTACATCAATTTTAGCAGCTGCAAATCCAATTAATGGACGTTATGATCGTTCAAAGTCACTCCAACAGAATATTATGCTCTCTGCGCCAATTATGTCACGTTTTGACTTGTTCTTCATTCTTGTGGATGAGTGTAATGAGGTCGTTGACTATGCTATTGCCAAAAAAATTATCGATCTTCATACAAATGCAATACAGACAGTAATCGAACAAGTTTATCAGCGTGAAGATGTTTTACGATACATAAGCTTTGCCAGACAATTCAAGCCAATGATTTCAAAGGAATCGATGAAGTTACTCATTGAAAATTATGGACATTTACGTCAACGTGAAATTGGATCAAGCGGTAAGAGCACATGGAGAATAACGGTCCGTCAATTAGAAAGTATGATTCGTCTTAGTGAGGCACAAGCTAAAATGGAATGTTCTGGTGAAGTTTTACCTCGTCACGTAACTGAAGCTTATCGTTTGCTATCTAAATCCATTATTCGTGTTGAACAGCCAGACATACATCTTGGTGATGATGATGAGAACAATATGGAAGTGGATGAAGTACCTGAAAATGGAAATAATGAAAATGGCAATGAAAATGAACAAGAACAGCAAGTAACAAAGAAAACATTCTCGTTGACATTCGATGAATATAAGAACCTATCAAATATGTTGATTCTGCATTTACGTGATGAGGAAATGAAATGTATAGCACAAGGAACAGACACAGAAGGCATTAAAAAGAGTGAATTAGTTCAATGGTATTTGGAACAGATTCAAGACTTGCTGGAATCGGAAGATGATTTAATTGAGAGAAAAATTCTTGTTGAGAGATTAATTGAGCGACTTATTACACATGATCAAGTCTTGATTCCACTTAGAACGACTGAATTAAAGCACAGAGGAAAGGATCATACGCAGACACAGGAACAACAAACAGAAGAGCAGGAAGATGCAAATGATCCATTTTTGATGGTCCATCCAAATTATGTTATTGATAAATAAGTTCTGTTAAGTTTTCTCGTTAAATCAGCATCTAAGGATGTTTTTTAAGTCCCACGGGATCATCATCTCACACATTTCATAGATTTTTAAGCACTTTTCGTTAATTTAAATCCAAAAGTACAATAGTTTCAAAGTTTTCTTGTTTAAGCACTTTAAGGTTCATTAATTCTGTTTTATTTGTAATAAAAACAAACATTTAGAAATAAGAACCAATTTGTTGATTTTTATCTATACTTTACTACTCTACAAAACTGAAGACGCATAGTTTTGAAAACACTGTAAAAGATGAAGAGAACCATCTTACATTGTACAGCATCAAATCCAACTGCATTTCGATTTATTTTCTCAATGAGATATTTATTCCTTTACTTTTCTCATAGACAGAATCATTCTCAGACTACATCTTCAATTATTCATTGAAGAATGCTCAACTTCATTAATGCCATTAAAGATTCTCAACGTACGTTTTGAGATTAACCGTTAAGTGTTAAATAAATGAAGTCAATACTTACTCAATTAAAACTGATGGAGTTATTCACTTTTCTTGTTATTTACAGTTCTTTAAACTTTAAAATCCTTTTTACAAAACATTTATATTGAATAATTCAAGAAATAAATAAACCTCAGCAAGCAAAATTCCAATTACTTTTTCAACAATCAACGAACGATTATTTCGAAAAGTTTTTCAATCGAAAATTCAACAAAAATTTAATAAAACGATTCCAGCAAAGAAGATTTCATCAGTATCAAGACTTAAAACCAAAATAAAAGTGAAGACGATCTCAACAAGGATGTCTCCTGTTCCATTATCGTCATGAAAAAATGTTCCAGCCAGAAAATATTCTGCAACAAGAATTTCATTAGCTTTAGTGCCTGCCAAAAAGATTTTAGGAAGCTCAACGATTCAAGCCCAAGGGTGTGGTACTGATGAAATGATCAAAAAAGATCAAAAATGATCAAAATTGATCAAAATGTAATTCTTCAGTTTCACACCCAACAAGATGAATTCGGTAGTAGGATCCACAGCAAGGACGAATCTATTGCATTCAAAAAATAAATCTTCAGCAAGTTTCTAAGCAACAGCAACGTCACAATCAGCAAGAATAAACAATAATGGTTCCAGAAATGATATCCTCAATGAAGATTCCAGCACGAAAAATGTCAGATGTGAAAGTTTCACATTGCAAAGATTCAAGGAATGTCAAACATAGTTTCAACGATTCCACCAAGCAAGATAAAGATTTTTTAAAGATTCCTATTTTCTTGCTATATTCATACATTCTCAAAATAATTGTAAAATTATTACACTTTTACTTGCACTTACTTGAAAACTTGACGGGTAACATTTGTGAGTCAAAATAGCAGTGGTTCCATCATTAAAAGTGTCAGCACAAATATGGCTTTAAGGAAGGTTGGTGATTTCAGCAAGAATGATGTTTCGAGAGTATGCAGTACTCTTAGTGCAAATTTGGATTCAGGAAAGGCTAGTGCCAATTCTTCCACTCAAAAATCAAACTAGTAAGCGCAAGAAGCTATCATTTTCTGATGTATTAAGGTCAGTGACAACTTTATTCTCCTCCATTCGTAAAGGAATAACAAAATGCTATTGGACACGTTAAATCCCTAAGAATTCAATTAGGAACTCTGCGGGGTGAAATTTTTTATATAAAAATCACAGAAAATTCACACGTTTTCTTCGAATGAGGCTTACCCTTTTAAAATAGGTTCATTTTTGGTGAATGACATCATTTCTGTCAATCCATCCGTCCGTTTGATGCCCTTAACAATTTATTCCTTTTCATACGAAGTCATAGCTAAAATCAGGACCAATAAAGCCCCCAACTTCATGAGTACGCATACATCACAGATGGAACACAGATGAATTTGACGACGATATAGCCTCTCACCACAGTTTCAAGGATCAAACGACATCAGATGACGAATGATTCACAAGGCAAGCAATTAAACTTATACAATCTCAACGAGCGATGCAAAGTTCCATGTTCTTTCCATGTTCCATGACTTAAAAAGAAGAAAATGCCTCACCGTCCTGCCCAATTTTTTTTGTCCTTACAGTGCTTATGTTTTGGGCAAAATAGAAAAATCAAACTTTGACATACGATAGGGATGCAGGCATTAAATTTAAACACTAATGTGAGTAAATTGTAACGTCACATGCGAAATTTTCCATTATCGGTTCCAGGACGATAAAATGAATTGGTACAAATTTTTTTCAAACTTGGTATTTTAAGCCTTTGAAGATTGGCATCAAGAAAAATATTTACAAATCTGATCTTAAACGTATTTTTAAAAATATTCAAAAACTGTTATAAATTTTAAAACTGAAATTTTCGTTTATAATATATTGAAACAAATGTAGCGAAAATCGAAAAAAAATTAATTGCTTCACTCAATTCTACAGAAAAAATGGTTCAAAATACTCATGCCTGACCAATTAAATATATGCAAATACATTCAGTTCGACTCGCTATCGACTGTTCAATATTGATTACTTTTTCGTGAGTAAGTGAGAGATAAGTAAAGTTTTCAGTGGAACTCACTTAAAACACAAAAATAAAGCTTAAAGTCTTGTTGATTCATTTTCTAAGTGATTATTTTTAATTAATAATTGAGATTCTTTCAAGATGATTTTATGATCAGTGTTAGTTGGAAAATACAACACAAGCATTGAGTATTTGTTACCTTTTTAAGATCGAGAAAAAAAAGCAGTAAAATCTTTAATTTTTAAAACAAATAAATTTGCCGGTTTCAAAAAGGGTAAAAGTGTACTTTAGGGCGGGGGGGCAATATATGAAAAAAAGTTTTATTATTCTTTTAAGTTTAAAATGCTGTAAATGTGTAGGAAATAGTAAAAAAAATAGTTAATTTAAGTGATTTTGAGTGAAATTTGACAAAAAAAAATTTTTTTGAAATTATTGCAAATTTTTTAAGTTTTAGTAGTTTTTCTTGCATTTTTTTATGTTTTTAATGCAGAAATACTATAAGTATTTTCGGACCTTTTGTCGAAGAAATCATTATAGTCTTACGTAAAATCAGTTTTCTTGGACCTTTTGTCTAAAGGATCATTAAAGTCTTGCGTAAAATCAGTTTTCTCGGACATTTTGTCTCAGGGATCATTATAGTCTTACGCTAGATCAGTATTTTTGGTTTTTAAAAATTTAAAATTATATTTAAAGTTTATCAATTCCTTCTCGGATTCTTCACTATTTGATTCAACTTTAGGCTCCCAAATCTTAAAAAGGTGAAAAATTTCAAAATTTTTTTTGCCAAATTTCACTCAAAATTACTCAATTTTAATATTTTTAATATAATTTTTTCATTTTCTACTCATTTGCATCAATTTTAGTTTAAAAATAATAAAAAAAATTCATATATTGCCCCCCCCCCCCCCCCCCTTAAGTACACTTCAGCCTCAAAAAGTTCAGATTCTAAAAATTCTAAATCAGAAATTTCCGATAAAAAATCAAAACAAAAACTGGAGCAGAATAATTAAATCAATTAAATAATTATCAAAGCTGCCCGAAAATCAAAACTGGAAGTAAAACACAATCGTAAGTGGTCGTTATCACATTTATATTAATGAGAGAGTCAATCAGAACATTTATTCTCTCAGTATTTAAAAAAAGTTCTTATTAGAAGAGCGAAATTTTAATTTTTTGTTGATTAATGTTATTTATTCGTCTACTCATATCAACTTCTAGCCTGTGTCTGATTACAAAACATTCTCAGTTGCATTTAATTTGCTCGATTGTGACGTTTATGATGAGATTTATGTAGTGAAACCTAATTAAACTATTTGTACTTAATACTCAAAATTAAACGGATCTGAATTTCCAAAATGATCAGGAGACGACTGGATATACTGTTTTATATTGTGATATTTTTCACAATGTTTGTGGTTTTTACTAAAATAAGGGAGTCGTCACTTCGTAAGTAAAATAGTTTAATTCACTGTATTACAATTTATTGGCTGCAGTTTTTTCATTTTCGATTAGGGATTTCAATACCGGACCAAAATTTCAAAGGGATTACGGTATTGGAAATTGATGATCTTGAGATCCCAGGTTCAAACCAGGGTTTAGATTTGGTTCAGAATGTGGTGTAAAATCGAGTTTAACATGTTCAAAATAGGAGCTTTCAGCTACAAATTAGGTGTATTTATCATTAAAAAATTTTTAAGTTGAAAACTAAGACAGAAAGTCAAAGTTTTTCCATATAAATCTATATTTCCTTGTCTTGTCTTGTCAGACCTTTTTAACTTTACATTGAAAGCTTTTGTCAATTTTTATAAAGATTATCTTTTAGCTTTTTATATCAAAAATGATTTAAAATTTTCCGTAAAAATTTGATTTTTTTTGTCGAGCTATTTTGACTTTTCTTCTGTAAAAACTTTTGTTTTATAAAAACTTTTAAAACTTTTGTTTTATAAAAAATCAATATCTATAATTTTTAATTCAAATAATAGATTTTATCGCAGCTTTATTAGAGATGAATTCGAATGATCATAAAATCTATTTAAAATTCAAAATTTTTCAAATTTTTAGAAATTGCAATGGGCATGTCACTAGACTTTTTTCAACACTTTGAAAAGAAAACTAAGTTAAAAAGAAATCCTAAATTATTTGGCAAAAACATGATGATTATTATTATTGTACACTTTAATATTAACAAGATCTGTGAGAAATTCTAAGGATATCTTGATCCCGTAATTCCAGGATTGAAGCTTTTCTGATCATGGGATTGCGGTATTCAAAAATCGGTTCGGACCCCGGGATCCCGGTATTGAAATCCCTATTTTCGATCATCCAGATTAAAATCAATTTCAATAAATCATCATCAGATCTATTTCTGTACACTGAAATTTGTGAGAACGTGGATTTATTACGTGTTCAATCATCTTTGTTATCTCACATTTTGCCAAAGAACCTTGAATTTGTGTGGTTGAAGAGAGTCTGCCGATGATAAGATGAGAATTTAAATTGAATTATATTTATTGTATTACCTTTAATATTTTTTGGCAATAGCTTGCTTTATTAGCTGGACATCAGTGTTATGAATCCAAAAAGTTCAATTAGTCTTTTTAAATCATGTAGTTGCTCAAAAATCAAGCTATTCTTGCCAAATTTGCTTCAATTTATTTTTTAACGGACTTTTTAATGCTAAACGCTGAACTGAGTTGAGATGAACATTGGATTACTGAATGATTGGTTCATTTTTGGACCGTTCAATTTAAGAAAGATCGTTAAGTTCAGTTTAGTTTAATTGTTGATCTTTAAATAGTTCAAATTATTAATGATTGTTAAATTATGTAATGACAATTTATTTTAATCCGATAGATTTATTTTTAATCCGGTAGATATATTTTAAATCTTAAAAAACTTAATCTTAAATTTCAAATGTTTAAATATAAATCCTTTTGTCGGCAAAGTTAATTTAAAACCAACAAAACTTTATAGCCCCACTAGCCCACATAATTTATGACTCATAAACAATTTCTTCATAATTAATTGTAGATAACTTCCAGAATCAAAACTCAGACTTCAATGAAAATGACACAGCACTAGAATTTAATACTGACAATGCAAAAATATCAAAGCAACAACAACAGCCAAAGTCAGTTCCACTGAAAAAACTATTGGCAATGAAAAACGTGGAGCAAAAGATTCTAAACGAAAAAAAGTACGGGCCAGTGACTAAAGAGACTATTTTTATCACAATCCAAGTCCACAATCGGATAGAATACTTAAAATATTTAATTGACAGTTTCCGTAATGCAAAGGACATTGATAAGGCACTGCTAATATTTTCTCATGACGTCTATGAAAATAATATTAATGAGTTAATTCAGAATATTGATTTCGCGATGGTCATGCAAATATTTTATCCATACTCAATTCAATTATATCCAAATGTATTTCCTGGAACAGATCCGAGAGATTGTGGACGCGATATTGGCAAAGAGAAAGCAATTGAGACTGATTGTTTTAATTTACAATATCCAGATACGTATGGACATTATAGGGAATCAAAATATACTCAAATGAAGCATCACTGGTGGTGGAAGCTGAATAGAATTTTTGATGAATTAAAAGTCACAAAGGAGCTGAAAAATTTCATCTTATTGCTGGTCGAAGAGGATCATTATGTAGCACCAGACTTTATATACATTTATAAGCGTATGCAAAGGTCCTTACATCTTGAATGTCCAAAATGCAACATAATTGCACTTGGCACTTACTCACAAACGCTAGACTCGATGTCCTACAATCAAATTGAAATTGCTCCATGGACAACAAATCTTCATAATATGGGAATGGCATTTAATAAAACAACGTGGCTTAAAATACGCAATTGTGCTGAATATTTTTGTACTTATGATGAATACAATTATGACTTTAGTCTGCAGAACATCAACAGAAAATGCCTTAAAGAGAAACTTTTTACAGCACTGATTCGCGGTCCACGAATCTATCATGTAGGCGAGTGTGGGATTCACCACGCAAAAACAAACTGTGATGTCGATAATACCATTAAACGTATTGATATGGACATAAAGTCAGCACAAAGGGATAGAATTTTATTTCCAGAAGACTTGGAAATTGTCAGTACAAATCTGAGACATCCAACAAATCCATTAATTAATAATGGCGGGTGGGCAGATAAACGCGATCATTGTTTGTGCCTTGAAATGACGGCAAACAAAAAGAATGATGAGTGCCATAAAATTTTTCCAGCTACTAATGACATAAATGATTTATGAGATTGTTAATTAAGTGTACTTAATCATGTTCAAGTACTTTTTTTTAATGCAATAAAATAATTTATTGTAATGATGAAGGTGTGTAAATAAACTGTAAATGCATGATAAACAAGATTGATTTTTTAACAGTCAAAAATTATTTGAATTACTAGCGAACTTTTTATTGTAAAATTATAAGAGTTTTTGAATTTCTTATGACCGTTAATTCTGTTATTATTTGTGACACTAAGTTTGACTTTATTGTCTCGTCTTGTTTAGCTTTACAGATTATTATTTAAATATAAAGTATATTCAGTTATTATTTTTCAGATCAACTTAAATTATTTAACAAGTTTATAAAAAAAAAAACAGAATTAAATGTAACATCGAAATAAAGTAATTTCAATAAGATAGCTTCAATTTTATAACTGCCATAAGAGTGTGCAGGCCATACTTTAATGTCAACTTTAAGACAAAATTGATTGCCATTCAAATTTATCGTCAGGAAATATGAACGTATATGAAACTTCTTTGTGCATTAACTTTAAAGTTAAAGACTTATCACTTAATTAGGGTTACCATCTAATTTTCATGAAAATACAGGACATTTGGTAAATTTTTTCGAAAAATACAGGACATAGAGTAAAATTCGAAAATTAACGGAAATTTTCATGAAAAAAATACAGGACCAAGAACAAAATTTAAAAATTTATACAAGACAGTCTTGAAAAATACAGGACTGGCCGTTGAAAAACTACGCAGATGGTCACCCTACACTTAATGAGCATACCTCCAACATGCTGTAGTCAGCAACTTCCTCTACAATTTTTAAATACTTCAATAATTCACACTTCATCAGTTCATTCACAACGTCTTGCGTGATATTTAAAACATTATTAATTTCAAAATGCTTCAAAGTTGCTGAGTGACGACGAATAAAATCATTGAAAAGGTTCATGTCAGAAATATTATCAACAACCAGTTCCTTAAGTTTAGGGAAGTCAATCTCTGAACTGACAATTTCTTGTTAAAAAATCTAATCATGCACGATATTTTAGACCTGTAAGTTATATTTAAAGTTGCTTCACATTTAAATATAACTTCAATTATGGATAATATGTGGACCAAAAGTTCAAAAAAATGAACTTAAAGTCATCTATATTCTGCTTTTTATTGACCAAAATTAACAAATTAGACAACAAAAAGCTTTTATTCTTTGTACACGTTCATCTGAAATATATAATTTGCTTACGCAAAAATAACCAACAAAAGAAACTTACATCCCTATCGTGTATTTGGCTTTAATGATCAGCGAACATCCCTAAAGATAATATTGTGTGATATTGACACATAATGACGACATTTTACAAACTACACCTACGTTGCTATATTTAATAATGGACATATTAAGCTTCAATCTATTCAATATTCGTAATTATTGAGTAAATAATGAAAATTCATCAATTAAGGAATCAATCTGCACAAATCACTTGTTGCTTCATCATTTTCTCGCATTCAACAATTTGATTTTTCACAAATTTCCCCTTAATCCAATCTAGTACGTCGTGGAAAAATGTCAAAATGAAAAGCAGTATGAAGTAGAATTTTTCATTCATTTTCCATTATAAATATAACGTGTTGCAAGCACTTTGAAGGCAGAAGTGTTTATCTGTTGGTTCTGAAAAGGTAAAAGAAATAAGCTTAAGAAAGAAATAATATCTGTGGATTAAAATAGAAAAAATTATTCATTTGGAAATAATTTAATCAAAGTGAAGTTCTTTTCAATAAAAATCTGTGGATAATTCAATTTATATTTTTTGAAGATCATTAAAATAGTTTTTTTTTGAATTTTCTCAACCACGATTTTAATTACTAATCAAGTAAAATTAATTTTTATAGCTCATCAGCACTGAAGTGAAAGTTTTAAAAAAACATTTTCTGTGTTTATCGATAATTGAAATTTCCTTGTGAACGCAGTGAGGAACTTAGTTCTGTTGGTTTTTGTGGATTTACACAGAAAACTTTTCTCAGAAAAATAAATCAAAAGTTCGGTCAAAAAAGAGAGAAAAAAAAATTCTCAAACTTAAAAACTACAGAAATAATCAACAGTAATTGATTGGTGAGTATGATTTTGAATTGTAACTTAAACTTTAGTTAATGGAAATAATGAGAATCTTGTGACTAGATAAGAACTCATCATTGTGTTGTTCTATTGATCAAATTTTGATAGTTTTAATAGAAGAGCAAATGCTTTGTAAAATCAAACGTGAGCTTATTGTTTAAACTAGGTTCATTCATGGACGAATGAACATTTTGAAAAGTTAAATTCCTAAATAATCCAAATTTTGGTTAAAAACTGAGATCTACTCGAACTTATATCAAAGATGCTTATAGACTCGGAATCTGAAGGCTTTATTACTTTCTTAAATAATCATACTTAAGTATACTGTCGCAGATTAAACGCAAATATCCAACAATCTAAATAACCCCAACAAGTGTCAATTTTATGGCTATTTTTTACCTTCAAAAGTGGCAATTTTACGACTCTTAAACAACTGATGAGCCATAAAGTTTCCACAAATTAGAAATTTAGATTAAAGCTAGAAAATAATGAACAAAAATAATGAATAAATGACAGCTTGAATTTCCAAAAATTTCTGTAGGAAGATTTGATTCACATTTACAGACGCTTCATAAAAACATCCATTAATTACTCTTGAAGCTACTTTCAAGAATGATAATTAAGATTTTTAATTATAAAGTATCATTACAAATGATCTAGTCATAAAAGCAATTGAATGTGACGACCGAAATTTCATTTAAGGCTTTGTTCATAAATGACGTCTCTTAATAATTGGGAATATTAAATTTTTATTTTTAAAATAAAATATTTCCAAATTTAAAGTTCTACAAAATCATGCTGAATATTATTAAGTAACAAACCCTTAATAAGAGCGATTGTAAATTCCACAAATGTTCACTAAAGCATGTAAATTACATAAACCATTTTATTCAAAGGTTGAAGAAAATAGGAAGCTTTAAATGCTTTCCTACATTGAGCTGTTTAATTCTCAGAGAACCTTTTGTATATGAATCGGTGAATGAAGTTGATTGAATGATGGAAATACGACATAATCCATGCAGCAATAGAATTTATGTTTAACTATGAAACAAGCTTGTCGGTTTGAAGAATTTATTGATTTGCGGGAGATCTAAATAAAGTTTTCTAGATTTAGATCTTCTGGATGTTTCTTTTTTGCAGATTATTTTATTGTTTATTATAATCCGGGCAATAAAATAGAAACAACAAATTTTACGTGTTTGAGCGTTCATTATTTTGAATGAAAAGCTTTTCTGCATTTTTTGGCGTTTACTAGAAAATAAGTCATGCATAATAGCTGTTATTAGATGTTTACTAATAAAGTCAAATTCAGTAACAATTCAAAAAGTATAAAATAAAGAGTTTAATCTTAATTTCAAGACAAACTTACTATGAACTATGACATTTATCTCGAACAATAAATGTCATAAAGTCTCATAGATCCTTCCTCCTTTAGTGGTTTCTAATTAGCAAGAAGGAAAAAAAAGTATTATTTTTTATACCTTTTTTCCATCTCAAAGGGATTAAAAAATCGGAAAAGTTTTGATTTTGTAGAGAAAAAAAATAAAGAAAGAAATTAATTTATATTCTGTTGAGGTAGCATTTCAATGCGATATTCCCAAAGATATTTTGTTTCAGCTCCTAATTTAATTAAAAAATATTCTACCTTTTTTTGTGATTTAAGAATGAGCTATCTAAATATTTGAAAATAAAGAGTTGAGTTTGGTTGCTGGAGAGATTTCTAGATATTTCAAGTAAAGATAGATATAATGACGTATATTTTCGAACCAGATTGTTTTAAGTTGGTAAACGAATTAGAGACACTTGATCAATCTCTAGAACATCTTGTTCTAGAACACAAAACTAAGATGACGTTCCCCGAAAACTAGTTTAAATTTGATTTTATTGGAAGCGTCGTCTTTGTTAAATGTTCTAATATCTGGCCCAATACAAAACTTCATATTAGAATCAGATGACGTTTAAGATTATGTAAGATATCTCCACGCGTAGATCTTCATTCGAAAACTTTCATACACGTCAATTAACAATAACAATTGAACTCAAAATAATAGATTTCAACAAAAACAACCTCAAAGAAAATGCGTCACTATTCCTTTCATCCACATTTGCCTCCCACTTGCTGTTGCCTCAACATATTTTGCTTTTTCTTATTCTTCATGAATATAATGGCATAATGAAAAGAAAGAAAGTTTTACTCTTGATTAATTTCCATACTTTTCAAATAATGCAGATATGAAAGGGAAAATCTCAGAGGCATCTTGCATAGAAATAAATGTCATCACAGAAGAGAACTAAATGCATGAAACTGCTGCTACTTTTTTTTGCTTTCTTCAAAGAAAATGTTTTTTTTAAGAACTTTTTTTTCAAACTTTGCATTTTCTTTATAATTGTTGTGAAAAATTTTTCTATCCACAAACATCAGGTGAAGGAATCCCTTTGTGAGTATTTTGCAAGTTCGTTCACTGAAGTGTGTGTGTATGTTGAAAAAATGTTCATTTGGTTTTAAGAAGCTTTAAAGAAATTAAATTAAAGAAAATCTAATGTTTTCGAGAATAAAAAGAGTTTTTCTAGCCTTCAGCAAGAACTAGATGCTCCACAATACATTTATTTGAGTTTTTGATGTCAACATCCGTTTTTTCAGTAGATTATTCAGAAAGCTGATAAAGCATTAAGCTTAAATAGGTTTCGATGTTTTTTCTTTTGCTAGGCTCATTGATTTACTTTAAAAAGTAAACAGGCAATTTTTTCTGTCGTAAAATATTAGCGAAAAAAGTAGCTGGAAGCAACGATATGATTCGATAAGCTGAAACAACCAACTACAACAAGATTTTGTTCTAAAAAATCTTCCATAATATTCTAAAACGTCCATACCTTGACTTCTTTACATCACAAACTCACAAACAAGCTTTACGTGACAAAAATAATTTTAATTTCTAGCGCAAAAACTATAAAAATCTTAAAATCCAACAGATTTATAATACCAATTCATTAGAGAATAAAGGTAACATTTTGTTAAGATTAAGAATTTCTCATGAGTATTTTGAATCATTTCGCTGCTTATTGAAAACTTTAGTTTTAAAACTCGTGTAACAAGTACTTTTATTGATGGCATAATTGCGTCATTAGAGGATGTTTAACAAGAAGAATTGGTTTCAAAGTTTATTGTTGAAAGCGTAAAGAGTTTTTGAACCTTTGGCAATTTGTAGTTGGATGCTTGATTTGTGAAACAATTTTTAACCAGATTATGGATTACGCGGATAATAAAATGCTTTTAAATATCCTTAATCGGTAATCACCAAGAAGTTTGATTCGAGTATCAATAAAGTTTACTTGATAGCTTAAACATTTAAGCTATTAAAGAGGATTCCTCTAGAAATTAAAGTATTGATAACATTTGTAAACATTTCTCAACAAAACTCGCATCTATATAAATGCACATAATGCAGCATTGCTCATACACAACATTTCACGACATTTTCTTTTAAAACAAAAACTTCAACGACAACAGATGTAAAATAAAATCTCATAATATGTAATTCTACTATTTGGAATCATATAAACAACGTTGCTTGAAGCTCTTTAGTTCTCTAATTATTTAAACTTTACTCTGCTTTTTTTCATAAAGTACAATTTTGTCATGTAAAAAGTGACTCAAAAGTTACTTCCAGTGACTTCTTTATGAAACATTTTTCATTCGTAATTTATGTCATAAAAATTTTCTAATGATAAATAAAGTAACATGGTTTATTAACAATACGATAAGTCACAATGTATGTTATTAAAATATTTCTGCGAGGAAGGTTTAAGTTCTTTAAGGTTATGTTCTTTATAGTAACGAGGAAAGTTGAGCGACGACCTACACGTTTATTAAGCTTGCTATTTAGAATTTTCAATGAGAGATATTTTATGAAGTTTTAATAGTCCTTAAGGCAAATTCAAATCAGATAAGCTACTCATTTACTGCGATGGTTGAAAAATAAAACCAAAATTAATCCTTTATTTCCTTTTGAGTCGAAACCTCACTCAATCGTTCACAAAAGTTTACAATGAGCATGAATATCTAATTCATTACCAAAATCCAACACTTATCAATTGACCAAAGCTGATTGTCATTATAATCCAGCAAAATCGGCCATAAATTGCATCACAAAATCATTTAATAAATTTCCTATGCACATTTTCAACAATTAGCATTAAAATCATTATATTAATAATCCAATTTAAATGATTATCACAAAACGATGGAAATTTGTATCGATTTGCATTCAATGAGCAACAATTGGACGGCTTTTATAGCTGAAATAGTAGCTTCCACCTTTTCTATTTAGAGCAATTAATTTAATCATTTGAAAAAAGAGCTTTGAATTTGTTTTAAAATATTCAATGAAGCAGATTAAAATAAGCTCAGTGCCTTAACGTTAACAATTCGATTCAAATGAACGTTTCTCAATAGATTTGAACTTTATCGAGGCATAAAATCCTATTCGTCCTAGTCTATGATTAAGCTAGTCTGCTTTTGTTGTTTATTTTATTATAAAAAATTGATAAAAGATAAAGTTCATTTATTTAGATAAATTGATAAGAGATTAATCTTAATTATATTTTACTTTCAGTTATTTTCTTAAAAAAAATTAAAGAAAGACTTTTTTGAATAGATTTCGATTTCTAAATCATACAACATCATCTTAATAGAACAAAAGAATCAAATTGAATTAAATATATCTTAAAACTGACATAAGGTGCTGCAAATACATCAATCAGGATAAAATTGAATAGCAATCTTGCAATGTCCTTGCTCCAAAAAGCACAATAAGATTTGCCTTAATATTCAAAATGAGAAATTGGGAAGTTCTGTCTATTAATAGCATTTCCTTTAATTTATGAATAGGAAGTATCCAAATAGATTGAAATATAATTGATGAACACTTCACGTGATGTTTCTTCGGCAATCAATGTGACTTGTCAGAAAATCTAGTACATTATCACAACTATCAATG